TCCGCGACCTTCCGCACGCCGCAGTTTTCGCAGCGTTTTAACATGATTTATTTCTTAAAAAATCCGCCGAAGAGGAGACGTGGAGGAAGGGGGTTTTGCACGGCCCCCACATGCGGTCAGCCCCATCCGTCCACGCAGCAAAAGCTCAGCAAGCCCAAGCTTTGTGTACTGCCCTCTTCAGAACTCACAACGTACGTTTTGAGCATGTTGGGGAAACGTGTGTTGTTAAAACGTGCGTTGACAACGCTGAAACGTGCGGGGCCAGTTCGCTAAGCTTAGGGGAAGGGCCCTGAACCAGGACTTTGGGCCCATGCTAACTTTCCAAGACCGGGGCGCCCAAGCTGCCTCTCCACCCCTTGCATCGCACCTCACCAATGGCAAGGCCACACGGAAGGCATGCTCTTGCAACGGCTCGCCACCTGAAGAACAGGATCGAAGCTTTCCTAAAGTCCATTCGCACTCTTCAGCATGCTTCAGCTACTCCGGCCTCCATCCACGTGGCGGCAGCTGAGCAGAGCCGTGCAGCTGGAAGCTCCCCCGATGAAGAGCGCCGTCAGCAGTTTCAGTGCCCAGTTGACGCCTAAGACTTTGGCAACAAGGCAACAAAGTGGCCTCAGCAAGCCCCCATAGGCCCCTATACCCTTTGGGTTCTGCACCGGCTCCATGCTGCAATGCCTCCAAAGGCATGCAGAGTGCCAGGAGCAGCAGTGGGACGCACGGCGAGGCGAAGGCGCTGAGGGATTGAGCCCTCCTGCACGGGGAGTGTTTGGAATGAAGGGAGAGGTGTCCGCATCGTGATTCAACATTTCGTGGTAAAGGAGGGATGCACCCATGGACCGTGTGCTCCCGCTGAAATATGACAGCTTCGTGAGGCTTATTAGTTTGACTGTTCCATCTTGAATGCTCTGAACCCACATCCCCCATCCTGCCATATGTGCATTCCAAGCTCAAGGCATCGCGGAAACCCTTCGCTGTCAATTGCAGCCACTGCACGTACTCCTCGGAGGGATGCTGGAGTCATGCAAAACACTAGGCCCATGGATGCCAAGCCAGGTCGAAAGACTGCCCAGTCCTGCTCCCAAAAACCTGCACTGGATCCACCACCTCCTTGGACCCTTCGTGTGGACAGGGCCAACAGCCTAAGTCACTGCTGCTGTAATTTGGCACTTCGGACGCTAATGCTGTCCGAGTCCTTCGCAAGGGTCGAGTGACAGCAAACACATAAGGGCTCTGCGACAACTTTTATGATGCCAAGGAGCACGCCCCACAGCTGGAAGAGCTGGAGGAGCACAGGGCCTTGAGCTAAGAGCAGAGCCTTCAAGACCTTAGCAGAGCATCAGTGCAGCAACTCAATTGCAGCAAGCGGAGCATCGACAGGTCACAACCCTTTTCTCCAGTGCTTCTTGCCGGCGAGCGGCGCCCTGCGTGGCCGGTGCTGCGTCTGCTGGTGCACGGTCTGTCGCACGACTCCTGCCAGCAACGTCAGCTGTGCAAGCTCACCATTTCAAAGGCCTGCAACTCTCTCATCCCCAGCCAGCTGGCAGCGCCTCCAGAGGAAGGTGCCAGCCAACAGTGCCGAAACCACTAGGATCGTGACAAACGCACCAGCCGCTGCCGGGCGAGTGTCGCCGGAGGCCATAGTGCATTTGATGCAGCGGTTGGAGTGGCTGCGGTAGCCCTCCGAGCATGCCACGCAGAGAGGCCCCTCATAGCCTTCGGCAAAGCAGGTTGAAGTTGACGAACAACAAGCAGGGCGCTGCTACAGCAGGCGACCTGACATGCTGCTGGCTACTAGCACCACCCAGGCCCAAACAGTCCGTGAAAGAATGCCAAGCAGCCGTCGGCACAGCCCAGATCTGAGCTACTCGCCGAAGAGTTGCAGCGCTCCTCGTCCGGCTGTAGGCACCTGTTGCCCACCACAAGTCGCTGGGCAACAGAACTCAAGAGTCGAGAGAGGACTGTAGAGGTGTGCTAACCCGACACTACTTATACTTATAGGTTTATAACTCCATATGTCCCTGTGTAACCCTTAAGCCTATATGAAGGGTCCTTGAGGGAGCCGTGGCTCTTACTTGATATCGGGGGCAAAATAATTACCAATGTCATTTTGAGGTCCATTTGAAGTACCATATTGGATACTGGAAAAGACTATGTAGGGTTTAGGGTTTAGGGTTATGAGGTCCATTTGAGGTACCATATTGGATAATGGAAAAGACTATTTAGGGTTTAGGGTTTTGAGGTCCATTTGAGGTACCATATACTATAATGATACAAGGAATGTGGAACCATGATATTGGTAATTATTTAGGCCCCTATATTACACTAGCCTGTGCTGCGATGCACTTTGGCCAAGGATGAAGGTCTGCAGTCTTCCAGCAGCAGAGTGTTGTTTAATAACAGCAGGGTTTTGGGTTTAGGGTTACAGCACTCTTGCTGGCGCAGTGACGTGAGGCATCTTTTTGACCCTGAAGCTCCCTGAAGAACTGCCAGGCACGTATCGCATCTAAACCTGGCTATAATCTGAAAGGTCTGCTGTTGCATGCTGAAATGCTCCAACCTGTCTGAGCCTCCAAGCTTCCCTCAGAGACCACGAAACTCCAAAATTTAGAATATCAGGGCTATACTGGGGTTATATAAGGATAATGGAAAAATGGAAACTACTATTTAGGGTTTAGGGTTGGAAGCCAAGTTTTGGACTTCAAGAGCCTATCGGCTGCACACTTTGCTAAGACTAACTACCGCACAACCCCGCCTTGCCCTGAAGTGCCACAAATTACACACGTGGGGATTCCTGAAATTAGGGATGCCATTTTGCGGGGGTCCCTCATAATAAGGATTTTTGTATGTATTTGGGGCTCTATATTGTATGGAAATTACACAAATGCGACTCTGACCCCACCGAGCCTGTAGGCGAGCGAAGCCTGGCGTACCAACCTGGCGTAGCCCACCTGCGGCCAGAATGGTCATTTTCACGCCGTTGTCCATCTTCCACACAAGACATTGAAGAAGCTTTTGGCGGCTTTAGTGTGGTGCTTGCGCAAGACAGTGCCTATCCTCCGGTTTGGAAAGCATGCTGGCAGCTGTCTGCGTGCGCCACGGAACCAATCGACACCTAAACAGCACCCCTCACACAGCACAGGCATCACTCTCGCCTGAGGCTTTGCAGTTTCGACTGCGCTTCCAACGGGACAATCCTGCACTTTGAACGGCTTTTTAAAGAGGAAAGCCAAAGGATGCTACAGGTTTGGGATTGACTGGCGAAATCTTTGGGCTCAAGGAAAGGGGCTCATATGGTTACAAACCAGATGTGCATCTCCAAGTTCGCTAGCCTCCTATCCTCCTGGTCCTCTCTATCTTTGTGGGGTCGCAGGCCTTGATAAGAGATATGCGCAGGACGTGCCTTCCATCGCTGCTTCGAACAAATAGCTGAAGGAAACTGTCACCCAGCAACGCCCAACTCTGATTGCAGCGACATGGAGTTCCTGGTCAACTGATTGTCTCATCTGCTTGTTTCTCGACCTCTGTGCACAACCCTAAACTCTAAACAATACGATAGGCCCCTGCGCTGACAAAATGCTCGAAACCTGCACTGAGCACGCCAACAACACCGAATATAGAGGTCCCCACAACAATAATGATCGTAATAATAGCGATAATCAAAACCACACTACGCATGCGCACTATTGAAAGCCAGAGGCTCAGACCTCGAGTTCTGAAGCCCTTCTGACTTCAGATCCCAACGATTTTGAGCTCTAATCCACGCACCCCAATATCAAGTCGCTGCAGAACCTCCAAAACACCAGGGTCTAGGGTTTAGGGAAATAGAATGCCCCTGTATACTACATTCCCATATTCCCTACTAAGCCCCAGCAAGATGGGGATTGTATAGGGATAGTATTCCCATATTCCTTACGAAGCCGCAGCAAGATGGGGAGTATATAGGGATCATATTCCCATATTCCGTATAAACCCTAAACCCTATGTTACCCGTATATGTTCCCATATTCCCTCTAAACCCTCAACCCTAAACCCCCACTAAGCCCCAGCAAGATGCGGGCTGTCCATGTGGAGCATGCTGCAGTCTTCGCATGTGCTCCTCAGATGAGAAAGCCCATTAGCAAGGATTTTAGGAGGGACCCCTAATAGAAACCCTTAATCCCATTACCATATATATAACCCTCATACAGTCATTATATAACCCCTATTTCCCTAGGTGGTCCCCATATTGACCCCCATAAGCTACAAGGGTCCCTATTAGGGGTCCCGCCAGAAGTCCTTCGACCATTAGCAAGGCTGGGTCCCTAAACCGATAAGTAAGTTACTGGGGGTTAAGGGTTAGGTGTTTAGAGTTTCGGATTTAGGGGTTTAGGGTTTAGGATTTAGGGGTTTAGGGTTTAGGGGCTTAGGGTTAAGCGTTCGTAGCTTAGGGTTTGGGGTTAGTAGGAATAAGGCAATAGAGTGGGTTATATAGGGATAATGGAAAAGAAGAAAGAAGCCACGATTTGGGTTTTAGGGTCTATGGGGTACATACTATAGGGACATACAGGGAAAATGGAAAAGACAATGGAAACTCCTATTTAGGGTGATGAAAGCAAAACTGGGGAGTTACAGCTAAGTGGAGGAGGTGCTTGGTGGCAGGGAAAGACTAAGGCAGACCCAAGCACTCCACACGCCCAAAACCCAAAACACCCCCTAAACCCTAAACCCCCCTAAACCCTAAACCCTACACCCCCCTAAACCCTAAACCCCCCTAAACCCTAAATCCTACACCCCCCTCAACCGTAAACCCTCCTAAACCCTAAAGCCTGAACCCTGAAACTGATCAAATAGTTTGGCCCCAGGAGCTGAGACAGTGCCTTTCCCGCTTCGCATTGGCAGGCCTCCTTGCCAGACGCATCTGCACTCATCCTGCCAGAAAGGCTCTGTGCCAGCTGAAGTCTCCGGGATGTCGACAGCTATTTGTTTTGAGGGGCTCTGTGAAGCAAGAAAAGACATCCAAAGCTTCAGTTGAGGGAGGGTTTTTAGAATTGCTTGCTGGCCCCTGGAGATACCACCATATCTTGAGCAGACTGCGCACGGAGCACTGCGTTAAAGCACATGTTCTACATGCAGGTTTGGAAAGTCAAGCGCCTCTGATTAAAGTGATCTGCCCTGAGTCAGTCCTGCCCACATTGCACTGGCAGCCGTCGGCGGAGGTGGTCCCTTTGGCCGAGGTGCTGTTGTCTGGGCACGCGCGGCATGTGCTGCTGTTGAAGGCCTCATTGTAAAAGCCACGGCCGCAAAGCCTGCACTGGATGCCCTTTCCCTGGTAACCTTCCATGCAGCCGCAAAGACCTGCTGGCCAGAACAAGTGTGGATTGACTCTCAGGGAGCTGGAAATGACATCGTGGCAGGCGTAGCCGCCAGATGCATTGATTGATGTCGGATGCGGCGTCGTCTTCAGAGCACCCGTGCTGAAGAGACTCGAGATTTCATCCGTATTTGTGAGGAGAGTTCCTCTCAGGTCCAGCTGCAGGTCCTTCTTAAGAGCATTCTGCAGGAAGCCCCTTGCGAAGGTTATGGGTGGGTTCTCCGCCAGTGACACTCGGGAAACGTAAGCCTCGATGTTCAGCGCCTCGACCTCAGTGATCCTATTACCTGAAAGATCTAGGGACTGCAGGGACTGGGACAATGGGAGGCTGCACCTGTTCGGCGACAAAAAATCGTCGATGTATGCTTCGTTCACACAAGCTATGTCGGGCAGGCGCCCGGAGAGGTTGGCTCGCTTCGCCAACAGCCGGGCCAGGTGCCAGGAAGCCTTCAGCGGCAACAGAAAGTCCTCAACTGGCCCGTTGAGAGGGCAGTCCGACACCTGGGCTCAATAGTTAAGCCTCTTGAACATCCTGAACACAATGCCGTATGCATGGATTGCATGCCAGCCATAGCTTTCCTTCTGTCAAAGTTGCGTCCAAAGTCACCAGGGACGGCAGGAGCTGCTGGGATTCATCCATGGTGTAGAGCTTATCTCGGAGCTCGGTTCCGCTGGGAAGGAACTCAACGTGGCTCCCCTTTGCACGGACAAGCCCAAGGAGCAAATTGTTGCCAGCAAATTCTTTTGTGGAAAGTCTGAGAGCCCGACGGACAGGTCCAGGGAGTGAAGCTTCCGTAGCTTCCCTGAGGCAAAAACGCGCAAGTACGTAGAATGCCTCTAGAATCTAGAGGATCATTCATGGAACTCCACCTGGGATTAAGTTAGAGAGATTGCAAATCCTAGACTTCGCCAGGTGGCCGCGCCAGGATGCAGAGAGGCGTCCTCGAACGTGCGTTGAGCTAAGGTCAACCTCCCCAGGCCACACTCACTCCGCCCTGCGCAGGAAAAAACACGCGTGCCTTTTCGAGATTTGGGAACTTGGTGAGGAACTCAATGTCGAACTTCACCTGAGTGTCCTGTAGATGAAGTCTGCGCAGGGACGTGAAGGCTCTCAGGGGCTCAAGGTCACCGGTGACCTGGGTGTGGCCAAGGTGTATCGTTCTGAGCGCTGTCAGAGCTCTGAGGGGCTCAAGGTGACCGGTGACCTGGGTGTGGGTAAGATATAGGATTGCGAGCTGCCTGAGGGCTCTGAAGGGCTCAAGGTCACCGGCGACCTGGGTGTGGCCAAGGTTTAGGCTCCCAAGCTGCGTGAGGCCTCTCAGGGGCGAAAGGTCACCAGTGACGTGGGTATGAGCAAGGAAAAGGTTTCTGAGATGCGCGAGGGCTTTCAGGGGCTCGAGGTCACCGTTGACCTGGCTGTAGCAAAGTTTGAGGTATCTCAGGTGTGGGAGAGCTCTCAGGGGCTCAAGGTCACCAGTGACCTGGGTGTGGCCAAGTACAAGGTTTCTGAGCTGCGGGAAGGCTCTCAGAGGCTCGAGGTCACCAGTGACCCACGTGCTGGAAAGTTGCAGGTGCTTCAGCTGGGTGAGGGCTGTGAGGGGCTTCAAGTCACCAGTGAGATTGGTGCTGGTGAGGATCAGGCTCTTCAGCTGGGTGAGGTTCGCCAAGGCCAGGGTGTTTCCCTGGACCTGGGTCGCCGAGAGGTCAAGACTCGTGAGCTCGCGGGGAAGGCCTCCCAGATGGCCTGTCAGTGACCGCCCTCGGATGCGGATCTCCACCAAACAGGCCTCGAGCAAGCTGCGTCTAGAAGAACCTAAGAACCTCACTACAAGCATCATTCGCGCAGCTTTTCTTTTATAGATTACACCCAGATAGCGAGTCCTGGATACAGCACCCGAACAGCATCCCTGAGCCTGAACTGCATCTTCACAGCACCCGATCAAATACACTCCCCCAAACTAACATGGAAACCCAAAAAGGGCCTTATGAAGACTACAGTCTCTCTAAAATGGGGCTATATGGGTTTCCATGTTATTTTGGGGGAGTGTAGTACACAAACATCACCCTGGCAGCACCAACTGCAGCAAACCAAACGTCACCTTGACAGCACCCTGAGCCCGACCTTGCTTGGTACAGCAACCAAACATCACCCAACACTATAGCCCTCGAAGTGTTAGGGTTTAGGGTTTAGGGTTTAGGGTAACCCCTGGCCCCTGAACTTTAGGGGCCACTTATGGTACCCTGGGGGGTGGCAAGTGGTCCAGGAACCTCATCTCAGGAGATGTATTCATCACCCAAATAGCTTCTAGGGAGGGCGGGCTCATGCTGCCATTTTCTAAGAAGGTTTCGCATGTCTTTCAGATTTTTTGTCTACCTGGCAAATGGTCCCGGCCAAGCAAACAGATCGCACATGGAGCCTTGTAGCTCATGGTTTTCAGACTCCGCATTTGCCCGCGAAACCCACGGTGCGTGTATACTGCGGTTTTGCATTAGTTGGAACCTTTCGAGGTTTGCGCTGAAAGAAGCTCAACCCCCACTCTGATGCCCCAGCCCTATTTTCCTGGTTTCAGCCGAGTGCACCGGTCTGTTGTTTTGCTATGGCCTATGGCCCATGGAAGGAGCTGATAGCTCCCCAACGTTCCGAAACCCTCGGAGGCGCCGGCCCCCGGAGGTGATGTCAAGTAGGTTTCTCTTGGCAAAACAGGAGGAAGCCTGGCATCCCCCCAATTCGGGACCATGTTCTAGTCACGAGGGGTTTGGAGACAAAAGAAACGTGGGCTGGTGTCCGAAAAGTAGATCCCTGTTTTGGGGTCGACCCCACGGTTCCTGTGCCCGTGCAAAGAAAAAGCTTGGGACCGAACTTCTTCTCGGACTATTTTTCAACTCTCTCAAGCTCCCACACTCCAGATGCAGGATTTGTAGTAAGAAATTCAGGAGGCTTGACAGCCATATACGGTTCCACGCCAAATTCGGTGGTGTGTAGGATCAAGAGAAACCACTCATTGGAAAACTCATTGAGACTTGGCCTCGGAACCGCGGAGTGCCCCCCCCCCAAGTTATTCGCCCTTCTTGGACCATTTTTCACTTGCTCTTTCTCCTACACTCCTCAGGATTTGTTATAGGAAATGCAGGCTATGGCTCTACGGTTCCTGCTGCAGATTCTGAGGATAGTAGGAGCAGGATCGGGTGAACAAATGGTCCAAGGAGGTGCTCCGACGCTTGGTTTTTCTTGACATGGCCACAGGAACCCGGCGCGCCCGGCCTCATTCGGGACTGGTTAAGAGCGTTATATTGGAATAGGATTTAGGAGGAGTTTGGGAGGGGGTCCAGACATGGTCTCGACTTTGGGGGGGGCTCCTGTCCCTATGCCAGGAGTACCCTTAGGGCCGAAACCCTTCTTGGACAATTCTTCTGCTGTAAGAGGACTAGGGATATGGATCTTCGCAATCAAAAGGATTGTTCGAGCCGAGAAGGGGCGTGGCCCATGTGCACGTTGGAACAAACGGCTGATTTGCGAACTCGGGTGCAGCCAACATCAGCATCCGCATCTATGCATAAGATTAAGAATTTTATACTGCCTTTCTGCCACGCCTTGCCAACAGCGTAATGCTTCGCGTGTGGACTATGAACCGATTCTGCTTTTGGCGCATGCCCATAGTATACTATAATATACTAGAATATAATGCAGTGTAATATAGTATGCTAAACTGTGTTATAACATACTATACTGTAACATAATCATTACTATAATATACTATATGCTGTGTCTGCAGATTGCTGGCTTCATTGCGGATGTGAGCTCAAACCGAGCTTCGGGTGGGTAGCCCACTGCAGGTAGAAGCCCCATGAACTTTATTGGATTGAAGCTTCTTTTGGGCTACCGCCTGAGAGGCATGACAGGGCGCGCTTTCAGTGCTTCATGACATATACCTATACATGTACATCTACATATCATATAACTTTACATGCATGAGCAGATTCCAGACGCATACTGTTGGTTCCCGTGGTCGACCCCTCAGATGGCACAGTTTTCAGAAAAGTTGTTACCCCTCAAAACAGCACCCGGACATCACCCTGACCTACTTTTGTGCACCACCCAAACAGCACCCGGAGCTGGAGCTGCGTCCCGGCCCCTTTTGCCAAGCACCCAAGCAGCACTCTCAGCCGGAACTGCTCAAACAGCACCCTAAGCCGGAAATGCATCCCAACGCCCTTTTTCAATGCATGAAGAGCCCTTTAGCTCCCCCTCTGGGAAAAAACAGACAAGACACAACAGCAAACAGAAACACCCTCTGGCCCTTTCTGGTTTGCCAGGTTTATCCAAACAGTAACTTAAACTACGCATTCTTAAAGCCCTATATTCCCCCACTTGTTCGTGTAAGTTTCCATGTTCTGTTCCATCCGATTCTCCAATATAGGGGGATAATATAACTTAAATCAAGTTCCTTAACAGCAACCCAGTAAACCCTAAACCCCAAACCCTACATATCCCTGTATAACCCCTATATGCCCCCCTGTTTTTATGCCCCAGCGTCTTTTGAATCGCATTTAGCACCAGGCCAGGAGCAGGGAGATCCTTCGAGCTCGGAGGCCGGGAGCCCGAGCTGAAGGAAGGCGGCCTTTAAGGCCTCTGGCCCGGTGCCTTTGCCCAGGTCAGGTGAGCCATAAGGGGCTATATAGGGGTTATATTCATTTATATATATAGGGGTGATATAGGAGTTCTATAGTGTTTGTATAGGTTGTAGAGGGGACTACTAAAGTGGATATCAAGGGGGTACTAGGAGTTTAGACTATAGCTTATGTAGAATCAAGGCCCTATATACTATGATTTGAAGCCTAAAGACCCTACATGATGTATGACCCTTGCTATACCAAACTGCCAAGCTTTCGGGGTTCTAAGGTCGTACGAATAATTGGGCGTGCTGACTGCTCTTGTAGACGGTTTCTTCTAGACTCTCTCGCTCGCTCGCTCGCTCTCTCTCTCTCTCTCCCTCTCCCTCTGTGCCCCTTTAAAAGGAACGCAAACAGGAACCTGCAGCTTGAGTCGATAACCTCTGTAGCACCCCTACAAGTTCCTCACAGCATACAGGAAGTGCTAGGCGGCATTCCAGCAGGGTAGGGCTCAGCGTTGTGGAGCGATCTCGTTCAACCTGTGCCACTGGAAGGGATGCGCAATTCCATCATAATGGTTCTCGGGACGGAGGGTGCAGGGTGTGAAGGTTCATAGTTCGCCGGGTTCCTGCCTAGATCATACAGGGCCACACAGGATTTTGCCTAATCATGATGGAACGAGGAGGTCAGACAGCACAAAGCGGGTGAGGGTCTACCTCAGTGAGGACAACACAAGGGGTCCTGAGTAGAGCTGTTTTCCCTGGGACAAAAGTTCAGGATTGAAAGGTTGTGGAAAGGGCTTGGGCCTGGCCTCTTCCAAGAGAGCCTGGCTTTGAGGCTTCATCCCAGCACTGTGGAAGACCTCACGAATGACAGGCCACAGAGGTAAGAATGCCACGCATGACCGAACACAAGACCTCTACAACTCACCTTCTACTTAGGCCTGTCCCGTGCCGCTGAGCAACGCCATGCTGCCGTTTATCATCTGCATCCGTCGCGAGGGACGCTTGCTGGAGAGGCTGCGTTCGCTCCGCGGCGAGCAGGGGTGCCAGCACACAGAAGGCCCGGGCCAGCATAGCAGCCAATATGGATAGGACACTGCCCCTGGAAACAACCTTGCCCAAAAAACACAATGATTCTACAGCTGGCCCAATTTCAGGGCGTCCTGCTCCCGTTTACCCTGTTGGGGCTGTGGAAGGCACAGACTACGCCATGCTGAGTGCCCCGTCTGGGGCTGGATGATGAGACAGACGCCGACGGAGGAAGGGCATATAGTACGTAGTTTGGACCCCAACAGAATACAATCCTTGTTACAGGGACTCCCAAAAAGGAGCCCGCAATTTTGGGAAACCCCCAGATTGTTTAAACTCGAAAGCACCCTTGAGGGCGCTACAGCTCTCAATCACACTCCCGTGCACTCCAGCAACAAGCCCTTCTGAAAGAACCTTGTAAATTCCTTCTGACCCTTCCAGCTGAACGGACCCAGACAAATATAAAATAGAAAACACTCATAGCAGTCCTGGTAAACCTGTAGAATTGATATCCTCACTAGCCCCCACGCCTCCACGCAAGGACCACAGCAAACCCTGCAATTGTTAGCATTCCAGCACATGCTGCGGACTGTAACCTTGCATTGGCTCCCAGCGGGATGCAGAGTCGCGCGACTCTTCCCCTGCCAGGAGCCTGGGACGCCAGCCCGCCTGAGTCAGTCTAGGCATTGTTCGTAGTAAAGCACCCAGAAGGGCTGCAGTCAGCGTCGCTTCGCGCTGCGCCTTGCCTCTCCTGGAACAAACGCAAGCACTTCCCAAAGACCGCGAGCCTTGCGTCCTAAGTTCGTAGCCTCTGAAACCTAAGCACGTCAATCCTAGCCCCCCCCCCAAGTAGATAGAATGTAGCGTTTAGGGTTTAGCGTTATAGTCCCCCTTAAGTACAGAGAACGGTGCTTTGGGTATATTATAGATGGTTAAGATCTGAGCTTAGCAAAGCTGAAGAGTGAAGAGTCGATCAACCTCGAACATCGGCACCTGCATGAAAATGTCGAAGATTTGTAGAAGCTTGTTTTGAAGCATATCGAAATCCAGTTTTCGGCAGTACCTGAGCCTCAAATGTATGTTAATTTACTGGTGCTGTTGGCTATGTTTATGGGTTTGGGGCCAGTATGTTACCTACCGTTGGGGTGTATTCTACCCACTCTTGGGGTGTCGGTAGGAAAAGTTGACAGGAA